GAGGTAAGTTACAACTCCGTTCGTGGACCAATTTCGTCTAATTTTAGGTTTTATTTAATTAAATATTCTCCGCACTTCTACAACACACTTCTATTCCGCGTGGCGCACATTTATCTCCATTCTCGCTCGTCTTGGCTGTATCCAGATTACCGAAAACACGGGATTGAATTTGCGACGAAACGGCGCGGTGTCGTTGCAATTAAGCTAAATTTAAATTAAGTTCAAACAAATCACTCGCGAAACGTTCAGGGACAACGTTGAACGCATCGTTCGCTCCTATCGGTGAACATTGATCGGTTTCACGGTTTAGTACGTTCGTATTCAACATTGGAACCACCAAATGCACCGGGATGATCTAATTTTGATTTCCTCTTAAAGCAATTGTTAAAACAAAAAAGATAAGCGTCCGACAGAGAAATCTAAATACTAAATTTAACTTAGTAACAGTCGAATCGGTACTACCAAATTGAATTCGGTAATAGTCCAATTAATATACAAGTGAATAGAAACGTTGATAAACACGTTTCTACGGTTTCTATAAAAAGTAAATGAGAAATAGAAAACTCGCGTGCTTGGTAGTTCCAGTGTTAAACGAGAGAAAGGTTTCAAAACGTTCGACGTATTCGAAATCCGCCGCAAATTCAACAGTTTCCATCGTTATAGCTCATTCGATCAACCATACCTTTTTTCTTTTTATCGGAATAAAATGTAAAATATTTTTCACGTGTTCTCCATTCAACTATTACCATACTACACACAGAACAGTTCATGTATTTTTTGTTTGCCCCTTATACTTGCTCTTAATTCACATATCTTTATGAATAGCTTCTCATATAAAAAGGTGTCTTTTTCTGTGTATATATACGTATGAGTTTTTATATATTTATATGTATATATATATATATACACATACACATATGTATGTGTATAAATATATATATATATATTTATTTATATGTATACACATACATACACATACATACATGCATGCATATATGCTTGCATACATACATTCATACATGCATTCATACATGCATTCATACATGCATTCATACATGCATTCATACATACATACATACTTACATACATACATACAATATAGATACATACATACATACATACATGCATGCATATATGCTTGCATACATACATTCATACAATATAGATACATACATACATACATACAAACATGCATACATACATACATACATAGATATATATGTATACATATGTATATAATTAGAACGCATTATATTATTAACACGTGGTATTGTACAATGTGTGCAATGCTTTTTTTTTCATTTATCATGTAATTAATATTACATCGATGTGACGGCTGTAAACGTTTCTATCTTCCGCGAACCTCGGCACTGATCTTACACAGAATGTTTTAGAGTTTTTCTCCATCAGCAAGGAAACACCGAAACAAAAGGAACAATCGTCAACAACGTCGAATCGGGGGCTCGGTTACGTGTTTACCAATCACTCTCTGGAACAAATAATTCCGTATACCGTGTGTAATGCAGTGTTGGGAAAAAATTAATCGCGTCAACAATCAACAATTAAGCGACGACACTAATCGAGGCTGCAATTGACTTTGCGATTATCGAAAATCGTTAATTGTTAATTGCACATCAGCAATTAATGGTAATTAATAGAGTTACTTATAATTACAAATCGAACGTTACAATTCATTTCAAAGAGATATATTCTTTAGGATAAACGCAAACGTTCACTAAATTATGTACAATTATATCCTCGCGTATACGACAAGCAACTTTTAGTACAACAAACACGTTTCTCGAACATTTCACCAGACGCTTGATACTCTAGATAAAGGAAATCCTCGTTAGATCGTTAACCGTCGATGCAATTCATTTTGCCTAACGCTGTTCACAATTAACAATTAAATCTTTTTTTACAGATCAACCCCTTGGCCTACAATATAGTGTCAAACTCATGGCGAAAATTTTCAATTGTATTCGAGAAATTTAAAAATGTTACTTATCATTTTAATCAATTAAATATTACCTATCATCGATCGTTACCCTGTAGAGTAAACGTAGACATGGAACAAGCATAAAAATTCTTTCTTTCCCTGATAAACTCTTAACGATGAAATAGTTGTGTCGATTATAGTTTAGAAATAAATCATAGGGCAAGGGGTTAACCGAGACAATTGAAATCCAGTCGCGACCGAATTTCATTGCATTTCATTGGGTACAATTAATCGATTGACAAATCACAATGGATGTTAATTAATTGTTGCCCAACACTGTGTGCATCTATACGGTTGAGTACAGCTTCGGTTTCCAAAGAAACAGAATTAAGGGAGGATCGGATCCATGAAACCCTTACTCGCGTATACACGAACAAAGACGAACACGATTTTTTTTTTATCTACCTCAGTCGGACAACGAATTAACGCAATGATCTGCAAGGGTTCCGTCACGATGTTCACGCAGTTCGCACGCCGGAAAATGAAATGTTCCTCGAAGCAGGCGCAGCGCGAGTCGTGGCGTCCCTTCACGGAGAAAATCAACGCTGTTTTCATCCCTCCAGTCCCTTAGTGCTCGAATACTCGAGTAACGTGTTCCTCTTAGTAACATAGGGGAAGCTTCAGCTTGCACCAAAGAACGCTTCATCGGTGCGGGTAAAAAAATATATCAAAGAAATGATGAATCATTGATTACGCGGCTTGAAAAGCACCGGCAGAAGCACGGGCACTATCACGTTAAGGGGTCTTCCTGCTTCAGGCTGAGAAACGGAATCTTCTTTTCTCTTTCTTAACGTTGAAACTACCAGTCACAGTGACTCGTTTGAAACTCCTTCACAAAATTAGGAAGCGCACACATTCCTTGAGATTCGAAGCTCTTCTCCATCGTTGTGCCAGTACAAATGTGTGAGTTCATCTTGACATTTCCCATGAGAACATTTTCACAATACCAATTTAACACTAGAACTACCAAGCACTTAAACTGACGTTTCCCAAATTTCTTTATAAAACATACAACTGTATTAAGGATTTCAATTGGTTTACGTTTCAGTGTAGGTATTACTAAATCAGCTGCTTTAATGATTCCTCAGAGAAGCATCTGTACGTTCTCGGTGATTGTATACAAAGAAATCAGGAATAGGTCATTCTGACCCATCTGGTAGTTCTAGTGTTAATTACAAATGAAATGGAAATTTTGAAATTTATTTTGATATTGTCTGGTAGTTCCAGCGTCAGTACTCGTTTGGAATCGTAACAGCGAAACGTTAATATCAAAATCAGCGAACGACCCTCGGGTTCTCTTAAGATGCTTCCAATTAAACAAATTCTTTATATCCATGTTCATCTGAAGATTCTAAAACACATAAGGAGATGATTAGACGGTGATTTTAATTGTAGGCATTGAAGAAGATTGTTTGAAGAATGAGAAAGAACGTGTGTAACATTTCAGAAGCCTCCAGTTTTCATTGGAAAGGAACAAAAAAATTCGAATCAACGAGCCATCCAAGTTGAAGTAGGAAGACCGCTTAAATAAAAGAGCAATGAAAGCGACGCGACAACGAACAAGTCTGAAACACTCCATATAAGTATTGTGTTAAATTTAGCTTAAATAGCGTACACGCGCTCTTTTACTCTAGTATCACTTAGATATCAATTCATCGCCCCTTTTCCCTCTTATTTTGTCTCTCCTTATTACTTACATATCTCCGTCCTTACGCCCAAAGCGTAATACGTTCATCTCTTCTCTAACTTTTATCGTTTCGTCCCATTTTTATCGGATATAAATTGTGAATATATGTAAAACACATAAAGAACAACATTACTCGATATCCTCTTAATCATATTAATAATTAATTAATTAGTTTTTTTT